TTTTAATCAATCTAAAAATTATTTAATAATACATACAAATTATAGTACCAAATATAGTTTATTTATTTTTATTTTCTCATTTATTTATTTTAGTGACAAATAACATGCCATAAAAATAATTTATCGATTATTATAACAAATCGGATCGAATTGTTATCTGATCAGATAGTTATCGATAATGAGGGTGTGATATCTGTGAAAAGATTGAAGGATTTGAAGAAAATTAACATTTTTTTTGATAACTTGTTTTGACAAATTGGATCAAATTGTTATCTAATCAGATGGTTATCGATGATGAGAATATGATGGCTGTGAAAAGATTGAAGGATTTGAAGAAATAGAAATTTTTTTTTGATAACTTGTTTTGATAATTTTACCCATCAGTTAAGATATCATTTGAGTTAAAATTACTGTTTGAACGTTTACTGATGATTTTATGGACGAAATGGGTGAAATGGACCAACGCTGTAATTATATATAAAGGTTTGAGACTTCGATCGTAAAAATTAAAGGTTTGGGTGTAATTTGCAACAAAATGAAAGGTTTGGGACCAGCGCTGCAATTTTTTCGAGTCAAAATTACTGTTGAAACGTTGACTGACGGTTTTATGGAAGGAATTAAAGGCTTGGGACCGACGCTGCAACTACATATAAAGATTTGGGACTTCGATCGCAAAAATAAAAGGTTTGGGTATAATCAACAACAAAATGAAAGGTTTGGAATCACGACCGCAATTTTCCCTATTTAAAATAAGATTGTCCTACCTCAATTTCACTAAAAATATTATCGATGTAGAGAATTATTGTACTACGCAATCGTAGCATAAACCATTAAAGTTACAAATTCTAGTAATATCATATCAATCGTGTCCTCAACTGTACCTAAGCACACTTTCAAACCATGGCGTAAGAAACACATTAATTTTTGAGAAATATGTACAAAAATATAATATTTCTCCCCTTCTCAATCTCACTTGGTGCTATTGAGAACCTATTCGTGACCACCTCACTAGTTTCCGTGCTACATAGGTACACGTGTTTCTCTATTTGACGTGGCACAACCAGGACATCAACTTGACTTGGCCTGATGGCTCGTCACGAATATCCAAAAACTTGATCAAATCAAAGTCCAAATAGAGAGCTTTGGTACAAAAACAATTTTAAGCGTAAGTAACATCAGTAGCCCAAAAATATCTCAACATGACAACTCATCTTAGAATGAGTGTGTCTGTAAACTTTGAAAAATGTTATGAGTAATGTTATTCATCATTACTGCAATTTAATGAAAAGAAGCGAATGGAATCTTTAAGAGAGAGGGAAAGAAGATGTAATCAATTTCTTAAAAGAGCGAGACGAGACGGGAGAGCAAAGACGTGTTCTGATAAAATTGTGAAAGTTGAAAAGTCTACCTTATTTTCTTTCTTTTTTTAATTAAATAATTAATGACAAGTAATTTACGGGTCCGCGCCATATGTACACTACATTATCATTGATTGATAAGCACCACTTATGAATAGCAACACACATACTTAAATGCAGCTTATTGTAAATGATTTCTTTTCACATATTAGAGTGTTGTGCTAAAGTGCTCAAACTCAAATTTTCGTGATGTATACTAAGGTCATGTTTGTTTTGGATTAAAATCAGATTTTAATCTAAATCAAAGTCAAACAATCAATATTAATCACATCTTCCATGCGTCCTACATCTTTTCAACCACACAATCTACTAAAAATCTAATTTTAATCACCATCAAACACCCACTAAGTGAGACTACAAAAGGATGTCAAAGTCTAACCGAAGGATACTATCGATTACCTTTCAAAATGGTATAGATCAAATTACAAAAGTGGCTCCTTAAATAGGAGCTTAAAGAGCTCTCTTTTCAAAACAGCGATCCCGACTAGTATATATTACAGAAATGTAAAAGTAATTTGCATGGTGTGACGCTTAGCTTGCATCCACATGAGGACTACAACAACTTTACTAAACCATGTGGCTTTGGATGTGCTAACACTTTCATGCAATGAACGGGCTGAGTGCAATTAATAGTTACTTTATTGTTGGTGGGATTCCAAATGCTATAATGAAAACACAAACTTTCGATTCCAAGGGACGTTGCTATATCCCTTTCCTTAAAAGAATATTTGTTCCTCACTAGTAATGAATGCACATGAAATACTGTATGTCTCCATGATACAATGAAACCTCTTTGAATGTTGTTGGAGTTAGTGTACTTAACGAAGACCACCAACTCTGAACAACTGAACACCAAGAACTTGATAATCTTATACAAGAGTCTTTATATTCTATTTCTGCTGTATAACAGAATTTAAAGTTTGAATTTCAAATACAAAATGAAGTTGAAAAAGAATGCAAGAAGCTGTAGAAGTAAGAGAGACCAAAAATGAGATTTTACAACTTTTTCATATTTGAAACCAAAGTAAAACTTAGCCCCTATTTTGCTCCAATTTTCAAAAATTTATTTTCAATCATATATTTCATAAGATTCAGAACTTTTCAATCACATGTTAGAATTTGGATGTGATCAAAATTCTTTGTTGAAGATAATTGGAGTTCTAGTTAAAGTCATTAAGAAGAATCCTATTTGGAATACAATTGAAAATTTTTATTTAAGTTTATTTGGCAAATTCTAATTGAAATTCTACTTGGAATCTATTGGGGGTGGAAATTTGTATTGGATTTGAAGAGAACTTTGGGATGAAGAAAATCAAGATCTTTAGAGTAAAGGACCCGAGAGTGGACGCCACCCGACACCACCTATTTTGCCATCTGTGCTATTTTGGTCTCATTTTTCGTTTTGGACTTCGTCTTGTCATTCTACTTCATCTACAACACTACTATAAAGATTTGGACTTCCTTTATTTGTTCCTTATATAGTTGACTTTTCATTATGATTTAATGAGAAGTTAAAAGTTTTAGACAAATCATAAACACATAAATCTTTGTATTTCTTCTCCATATTATAATAAAATATTCATTCTGTGCGAATTACATTGTTCTTGTGATCGGTTACTTTATATTGTAGTTTAATCTCTTATCTTTTCATAACAAACTAGTATTAAAGCATTCCAATTTTCATAACAATTGGTATCAGAGCTTTTGGTATTGAAACTTTTGGGAAGATCAAGATTTTTCATAATGGCAACAATGAAGTATGATATTCTGCTATTAAATCGTAATACAAGATTCTCTTTGTGATAGGGAAAGATGCAAGCAGTACTCGCTCAGATCTTTTATAAGACTTGTTTCAATCCTTGTTTTGTGGTCGTTAGTCACTTTTGCCCCTAGTTGGGGTAGCAGAGATGTAGAATATTTTCAATTGGAATTGTTGATGGAGAAGTTTGTTTTTGTTTTTTCATTGAAGAGTTCAAGTTTAATCATTACAATAGAATTTGTCTCCTTTTCTAAGTTTTATTTATTACAGTGAAATTCGTGTCAAAGTGAAAATTATTAGAATTAATTGAGAGTTCTAATTAAAGTGCACAGTAAGAATAATCTTATTTGCAATGCCATTGTGTATTTCTGTTCAAGTTTATTTGGCAAATTATAATTAGAGTTCTACTTAAAAGCTCAATGAGAGTAGGAATTTGCGTTGGACTTGAAGAGAATTTTGAGATGAATAAAATCAAGATTTTTGGAGTAAAGGATCCCAGAGTGGGCACAACGGCGCCATCGTCGCTATGCCACGATAATTTTGGCCCGACGCTACCGCATCGCCCGGGTGGTGCCGATGTGCCACATGTTCTGCCATCTGCACTGTTTTTTGT